TTAACCATTCTTCTCCTATACTCCGTAGTTGATCTTCTCGATAAATCACTCACGAGTAATGTGCAAGCAAACGATTATTATCAAGCCTTACTTCGAACATTATGGCGTTATCCATTGATCAAATATGAGCTTTACAGGATATAAAATCCGCTGAAAGAATTATTTTGTTTGTTTCATCTCAAGAGTTTGATATGAGCAATTAGTGTAAACAGATGATTTTCTTGTATCCAGTCTGATTTCACCCAGTTTATTTCAATCTAATTATTCAACTTCTCAAAAACTGTAATATTCACACAGAACATTAAATATTCTTTTCAAACACGCTACAGAAAAATGAATATACAAAGCAAGCTACTAAGTTCAAACAAAGCACATACCATAATGCAGTAAAAAGTTACTCACTTTACTAAAAAGTCAGTCTCCTATAGATTGAACTAGCTTCTTATCTATTTCATTTAAATGTTTTGTTTAAAACTAAATGTCTGATACGTAACATATTTTTATCCATTCTTGAAATATGAAATCGGTTAATATAAAGTTATTAGAAAAGTGTGTCTAGTAATGAAGTCTCTTTTCTCTAGAGTAGTGCATGTTTGACGTAAACTTTAATAAGTTTTAGGAGAGTTAAAGTTAGCAGACTGTAAACCATTAGCGTCAACATTATTGTGTTTTTGAATCATCTCAATTTTATCGATATAGTAAAAAGTAAACGATTAAATTCGTTTCATAACATTACCATTGATCAATTCTTGAATTTTTGTAGAATTGGATGAATTGAAGAGAAGAAACGAGTTAATTATTAAAGAATGAGATTAATCGATATTTACTAGTAACAGAAAAACAAATTCTGAAGTTACAAAGATTATAAGACTGAATAACCACGCAAAAGCTACACGTTAAAAATTTAAATTATATATATAAAAAGCGTAAAAAAAAAAGTGATTGATACCATACGACTAGAAATGTTTTGCGAGAAATGGCATAAAATAGCAATCAATTTTGCACATAAACAAGATGAATATATACTAGCACGACGTGTGTCAGTTCTATATATCTTTGATTTGCATTGACTAAGCAGGAGAAAAGAAGCTTGTATCAACTGTTATCCGCTAAGAGTATCGTATGTAAAGAAGGCAAACAAAAACAGGATCTCATTGTGTTGACTATAAATACATTTATGTTTTAAAAATGAAGCCTAATTTTCTAATTCTACCATGATCGACTCCTCTATATGATAAAAACTAATATAATTATTGAATTGTCACTTCAAATTATCTGAATAATATCTAGTCATGACTACAAAAAAAATAGGTAGTTCATAGCAAGAAGTTAAAAAAAAGTTTAAAAGTGATGAATCTCAATAAAATTCATCTAACTGACATTAAATAAAGATACAATACAAAAACAACAACACACAATAATGTTAAAAAGTCTAACAATAAAGTGACTGAAGAAAAAATTGCACAAAAACAATGATATACAAACAAAAAACAAATGATAATTTCATTAGTAAAGTGAATTGCTTTTTTTGCGCAAAGTAGTAATATAAATGAAATACAAGCACAAAAGCAATACATACATACATATACACGTACAATTGTTTTATATTGTCATTATATTATAAATACGAGAATATATTTTAGTATGGACAAAAAACTAAAATAATAAAATTGTATAGAATACATAAATAAGAGAGCAATTTTACAAACCTTTTAAAATATAATTTGTTAGTAATTCGGGAACTTGTGGACTGTCGTCATTGATTGCATATAAAACTAAAGATAAAAAATAATAAAAGATTTTTTACTTTAATTCAACGGAACATGTTACTGATCTAATATTTCATACTTTTGTTTATACTTTGTAGATGTTCGACAGAGAGCGATGTTTGATCACGATCAAATGGAATTACAGTTGTCAGATACTAAAAAATAGGTAGAAATGATTATAGATTGTGAAGCGACTATGAAAAAGGCTTATTATCGTCACACAACTGCACACAAAAAAGATAAATCTCAGTTTCTTTTTGAGATAAAATATCTATTATTGTCAAAGAAACTCAGTGTAACAGCTGTAGTTTGTATTTTTGAGCGTGATTCTGACGAGACTACATAAAATAATAAGTATAATTAGTTACATACACAAGACCACACATAGAACAACGACTTCTGAAACAAAAACTAAATGCACGATAAAACACGACATGTACAAAAAGTAATCGAATAAATATAGGATTGTGATAGCGTAAATAAATAATTATTCGAAGAGTCGATCATGTAAGTCGCGTATTGACACCGAACAAGAGAACATACAATAGAATCTTAGAATAGAAACGACGTTAAGTAGGATAAAAAAGAGATACCTGTGACTTATGAAAATAATCATTCCAACTAGTAGATATAGGCTGAAGAACGGAGCGAGATCGACGCAAAATCTAAACGAACGCATAATACTGTTGTCAATCTATTACAAACAATTATCACTGAATTTTAGAAATAAGAAAGAATCGTTGTTAATTTTGAAAGTAAACCGACATATTTGATAAAATGTGACAGAAAGCGCATGTATGTTATGCGTTATTTAACAATATAAAAAGTTATTGATATAACAACAAACTCGAAAGATTTTTGCTGTTTGTAGATAGTTGCCGAACATATCAACTAACTGGAAGAAAAATTCGGAAAATACACCCATTCTAGATTATGTGAACATGAGCTTTTCTCAAAACTGATATCATTAACAAAAATTGTCATTTTTAAGCAAAAGAACCTTAACAAATAATTAAGAACTCCTTTAATTATTAGTTGTTTTGAAACTCAAAAGCACTTAATCCTGCACTTATTTCTGTATCTATCTTATTGTGTGAAGAGATTAATTATCATATGGGTAATTAGTTTCTTAAGTCATTTCATGTAAAATACGTTCGATGATCTCCAGTTTTAGGTGAAAGAGCTTTTTACCGACAAGCTTTAGATACTTCAGTACTCCGTCTCCATACACAAGTCTTTTCTTTGGGTACAACAAATGCTCAAACGTCGCTTGACACATGATTTAGTCTTTTACGTAGGAGCGTTCTTCAAATACAATTGATAAATTTTTAATTCTACTGTCGTATCATAAGAACGTGCTGTGAGAATTTTAGACAGCGTCTGTGAGCTTTCAAAAAAATTCTAACGAAAGTGTATAAGTAAAGTTTTTTATTAGACTTTTCTCAGCAACTTCTGTTTTCTCTCTCAACAAATACCATATTTCTAATCAAATTTTATTAGATCACACATCATTCTTAGATAGAAGTACTTCTGTTTATTATCTATGTATTCATTGTGTAGGAAAATATCAATATATACTGATAATGTTACTCATTATTTTAAGATTTATCTAATTCTCTATAAGATAGCTCAATTTTTTAATTCCTGAAATTGAAATAACTCAATCAACTTCTAACCATTCTCAGTTTTTATCCACAAGTATCCAAAATCAATTTATATATATAAACTACTACTGTTCACTTTCATCTTATTGATGATATCTTTCAAAAGTGTATAAATTTCTGTTTATTTCCTTTTATATTTTCCGGCAATTATCATCTATTCATAGTCTCCCGGATGTGTAGAGTTTGAACATCAACTTATAGTCAGTTTTATTTTTATTCATGCTCAGGGCATTTTCTTTCTTTCTCTCTCTACTTCAAAAACTCTTTTTCTCTTTTTCTTAGCATTATCGCCCAAGCTAAAATGTAATTGTATTTATTTATTTATTTTATCTTCTCTTTCATTCAATGTCAAGTATTCATAATTTAATTTAAACCAGACAGCTAGCTGAATATTATTCTATAAAATAAATTTTAGTCTAAACGCAGTTTATGCTGAGTCTAATTTCTCAATTCCCATTACACAAACCGAAGATAGCGAACACTAATAACACATTTTCCTATATATAGAGTGTATATCATTATCTGTTTTGTATTACAAAAAAAAAAAAAAATTCTTCTATTGCTTTATCTTTGATTACATTATATGAACATCCTATATACTACAAAGACAAGAAATTTTCTGTGCCAATTATATGGCGTTGCATGCTATTTTTCCGTCACAAAAATAGAATAGAAAGAGTTAATTTTATAGAAAGGTTTCTAAATTCGAAAAGGGCTTTTTAGGAATATATATATATATATACCAATTTTCTTTCTTCTATGATCTAAATCAGAATTGACAAAATGAATAACTTCTAACATATCGATTCAGAAAACCGTATCTAACGAAAAATATCTCATTAAAAAACAAAATACATAGCAGTAATAATTCTTATATTATAGAATACATAAGAAGGCTCAAACATAGTGAATGAATATATGATATGTCGTTAAACCAAATACGTATTAATTTCACTCTACTTCACTTTTTATTTATTCCCCTCAAAACATTAATCATTACTATTTTTTGAATATTTCTCATATTTCTACGTTATTGATACATTCTGCAGCACCCAAAAGCCATCAATTAAAATGTATGGGATCATGCTCTGCCGCTTTCGAATCAAATATAGCTCCAATTTTCAAAATATAGTTTGGCTTCTCAAACTTTGTATGAAAAGTCATGATATCGTCAGGAAAAACGAGATTTTTATCCTACATATGTGCGCGCATATATCACACAAAGTCGACACATGTTACTAAGTGGTATCCCGTAACGTACTTTCATTCAAGATATAGCATGGGGTTGTCTATCAAAGATTAAGTTTCGGAAACAAGGCTCTCAAGATGATATAGAGACTCTTAAACTACACGACAATACTAAGAATCGACAAGTGTTGTCCAGGAGAAGAATGTCACTGATACACAATTCGAAATCTTCAAGATAACGCGCAAGAAATCGATGTAAGATATGAATCCGTCTTCATTTAAAGGCACCTATCTGATCCTATAGAAGGTCTATATAGAGGTCGCAGTCATAGCTTTTAGTAGACCAAAATGTCTACTATAAGTGCCGATCAAATCGTATTCGATTTCCTTATTCAGAAGATATCAAAAGATAGCTCAAAACACACTTTATACTAACTTTTACTTGTATACTTTCTTATATGTATGAGAATCGAGCGTGCACAAGCTCTTGTATACACGGCTTTGACTGTTTATGTTGAAAATATCAATTACTGATCTACCCTGGCAATTGTAGTGTAAACAAAAAAAAATTTGCACAGCGATAGATTGTTTAAGGTCTTTATTACACCTTTATAACTGTGGAAGGAAGTATTAAAAAATGTTTAGAAATATTTTAAATCTATTGCTGTAACATACTATGAAAGTTCGAGCGAAAAACTTCCATTCAGCAGGTTCGGTTGTCACTACCGTGCAATATCTATTAATAGTGTAAACGTTATTTAGTATTTTTATAACGAATATAGAGTAAAAGTATACATTCTTTGATAATATAATTAATCACTAACTTCCACACTGATGTAGTGTATGATGTGTAGGAATAAGAAATTAATTAATCAATAGTCGTCTGTAAATTCATTGCAGTCGTTTTCTATGTTGTATAAAATACGCAAATACCGTCTTCCTCAAAATGTTTTGAGCGTGTTAACTTTCTATAACTGTCGTTTCACTTAGTCGACTTACCAAAATCTTTCTCCATTACAGTAATTCTTCAAGTACTCGTCGTTTGTAAATAAAACTTATATCAACAACATTCAACAGATTAAAAGAATCAAGAAACGGTAAACATTCGTAAAACGAGAGAGGACATGCACTGCTAAGTCAAACATAACGGATATAAAATTTCATACTTTCAGACGAAATCTACACTGCATGCATAAAGAGAAAAACAAGACATCATACACGTACCATTCCAAATTCAGCCTTTTCTCCTACAGAACGTCGTTTATGCCTTTTATCTACTTGATGTTGTCGTCGTTTATTCTAGAAAAAACAACAAAAACATATTCATGAAGGCATCTTCGTTCAGATTTTGTATATTTATACATACCTGAATACTGAGTATAAGTGAAATAAATGTATTTTTTGTCTCTTTCTCAAATTCTAATTCATCTCGATAAGCTAATTGCTATTAATAATAATAAAAAATTCAAATTAAATAAAAATTAAAAAAATAGTTTAAACAAGCTTTACTTGAACAAGTGTTTCAGATAGTTCTTTAACAGATGCTTCGAGTTCTTCATATATTTCATTGAGTGAAAAAATAGACTGAGTTTTTAAATCTAAATATAAAAGACAAGACATTTTAAATATTTTTAAACCTAAAAGTAAGTAAGAGCAATGAAAACATATAAATCAGTTTACCTAAATCGAGATTATTGCCACTCGGTAAATGATGAACACGTGTACGTAAGTCCAACATATCACTATTGTCATCAGAAAAGCCGGAATCAGGCGTCATATCCGTGCAACTTTCCTGCAGAAAAAGTAACAGCAACAACATTTTAATAATTTCATCGATCAAAGAAAATTCGTTTTTCTTCTTTGATTTACCTGTAATATAAAATCAATTTCACTAATAACCTGTTCAGCAGTTAGAAATGGTTCAAAATTATTAATATTTGAGACAATAACTGAATGCATATCAAGTTGTTCTCGTAATTCATCTTCTTCAACATCATCGATACTATGTATTTCTTTCTCAAGTGTCTAAATAAGGTAAAAACATATGAACAGAATAATTTTGGTCGTTTTTTTAACGAATTTTTCTTACAAATTGGTTTATTGTATTCATTGCTGATTGACAGTTTTTTGCTATATGTGGCAGTTTTAAATCGCTCAATAAAGAATGACGTAAACTTTCAATTAATTCTGACCACATACTAAAATAAACAAAAACATAACGTTTTTCCAAGAACATTAAACGCTTTTATTATCAACATTTACCTTGGTGTAGCAGTAAGATCTTGCTTGAGTGGTTTGATATCTATATCATCGATTATTTTATGATAAGAGATATTATTTTCATCCAATTCACCTGGAAAACAACAATTGATTGTATCATCGAATGATTTAACGAGATCTTCCAGTGATAATGATTTGAACAAATGTTCTCCTAAAATATAAGCCATTGCTGTACCAGTCAAATAGATAGTAAATAATTTACCAAAGGATTGTTGTGTTTTATCATGTTCCAATTCATCATCTGACACTTCAATAAAATCGTTTCCTTCGTCTGTTGAAAACTTCGCCAGCGGTGCGCAAGGATTATCGTAGGATATCAGATTTTCGGCAACTGTAACTGCTGACATTGCAGTTAAATCTCAAATGTAGTCTTTAAAGTCAATACTAACATGAAATTAAAATGTTGTGATGAATAAATTTTATTTCTTCGTTCTTTACTTCTCTCCTTTCTTTTTTCTTGTCGTTCTCCTGAAGATGAATGGATCATAGAATCTACTATTAATTAAATTCTATTGTCTTTAACTCTTATCATATGATAATTGTTAAGATTTCAAGAAAAGATTATTATAACTGTGCTTTATTTTATGCAGAATCTATTTTGAGGTAGTTATACAAAGGAAGGAAATTACTGTCAATGGCCTCTTGAATCATAATTGGAAAATTTTGCTCCAATTGGTTCAAAGCGTAAAACAAGACAGAACAACTCGTTTCATATGACACGTGCGTACGTTTGAGTTCAAGATACGCTAGGACTGAGAGCTAGTGTAGGCCTATGTTGCCACAATTAACGGAAACTCGTAATGACACTAGTGACTTAGACCTAACTTTCAATCCTAGTGTATCTTGACCCACGCACACGTATATTGCATTATAATTCACGAGAAATTATTTACTTCTATACGAAGTTAACTGCGGCACATTTCTGAGAAAATTGCGGTAAAAGTGTGTCGATATTACATATCGGAAAAAATATTTTATATTAAACCACACTTTCACAGAGCCATTCCGTAAGTCAGTTAGAAAATATTCTTTTGGCAAAGAGAACGAGTACTGAATTTATTTTTAACAACCACAGTAGGTGAAGCAGCTTATTTAATGCCTGTTTTATGTTTTTTGCTATCGTAAATTCTTGTAACCAAACAATTCGTCCGAATGCGAACAGTATCTTATTACTGCCAATTGAATAGAAATAGATGGTAGCTATAGCTTAACGACTGACACGTTTCAGACATCACTGAAGATTCGTTGGCTATTGGAAGATGATGTATAAGAGTAAAGATGCTTACAATGAAGCTCTGTTGTCTAAAAATTTGGACTATTTCGTGTCCTGTGTAGAGACCTGCATGGACAATTTTTTTTTGTCCATGGACGTCCATGGACATGTCCATCTAATGCAGGGCTCTAGTCCTGTGTTTTAAAAGAATCATCGACATAACATTTGCATCGTGGGATGATTGAAAAAGACATTACGTTTGGCATGGACAAAGTCCAATGTGATCTTTGGCCTGTTTAGTCAGGACAAAAATAAGAATTCTGTCGTATTATTGTTTTTAGATGCTATCATCACTGACTCTTTCCTTATTACTGATTTTTCTATTTGTTACCGATGCCGAGTATATGTTTGGTTGTTATTATGACTTTAACCAGCCAGTGGTTCTAGTTGAACAAATTCCTATCGGTATATGCACACACATACTTCTTATAGGTGCAGTTACACTAAAAGATTCCAAAGTTTATATAACAAAAAACACTTATAATGGATCTAATGCATTAAAAAGTGTATGCCAATTACGTGAAAAAGACAAAAATCTGAAAATAATGATATCAAGTGGGCTATTCGTTATGCTAAGACTATATTAACTTTTGAACCTCAAATATTTTCTTTAGTGGTCGGTGATGATGGTGAATGGAAAGAAATGATAAACAACGAAAAAAATCGTATGACATTCATTGATTCACTGCTGAACTTATCAGTACAAGAGGTAGATTTTTAACAAACAATATATTTAGTTCGAACCACGTTTTACTTATTTTGTATAATATTAGACCTTGGATGGTTTAGACTTTGACTGGGAATATCCTTGTTATGAATATAAATCTTATTACACGCAATTTATCTCCGAGTTGAAAGCAAATATTAAGAAAAATCCCGATATTCGTACGTATGTGTCAAACTTAGAATTTTATTCTTTTCTGATCACTTTATTTTTATTCAGGACCTAGTTTTCTATTGACAACGGCTGTTGGTGCTGGAAAAGGGACAATTGACGATTGTTATGAAATAACTGCACTTGGTCGATTACTTGATTTCATACATTTGATGACATACGATTATCACTGTACGTTCCACATTCTGGAGTATTTTCAAATCGAATACAAAAGACATTTTTTTAGCTATTTATGACATAGTAACAGGTTATAGCTCACCTGTCTATCCAAAAAGTGTAGAACAAGGGGCTGCACGACAGTATAATACACAGTGGAGTGCCAATTATCTAGTTCAACAAGGTGTGCCAAAGGAAAAAATATTAATTGGTCTTGAAGGACTTGGACATACATTTCAATTGAAAGACCCGTTGGTTAGTGATTTCCAAGCTCCAGTATTAGGCGTTGGATATGGAAGTGGTTGGATAACATTCATTGATTACTGTTTGTTGACTCGGACAGCTGGATCACATTGGGATGATGAAGCAAAAGTGAATTTTACATTTATCAGAGATCAATGGGCAAACTGTGGTGATGTTCGAGGAGCAATGGAAAAGGTGTTATTCGTGAAACAAAATGGATATGGTGGTGCATTTTCGTGGGTAAGTAACAAAAACGATAGGTATTGAATCGTTAAACATCCTTTTCCTTTGATGGTATTTTGTACAGCTGCTCGTGACACTCTGAGAATAGGAAACTATTAGTTCGAAGAATGGACGAATGTTTTGAAATCTACATTGACGCTCACCTTTTTAGCTTCAGTTAGAGATAGTGCAAATTAAAATTTCACAGTTATTTAATGCTGAAAAATTCCAAACTGCTGAATATTAGGGACACGTGCTTCAAGTTTGCAAGGTGGTTTTCTATAAATCCGACTTGAGTCTTCAGATGGGTATTAGAAAGCTAAAACATGGAACTCTTAAAACCGTCAGTTTTCACATTAATCTCAAATAGCGCCTTCTAGTTTTTAAATTAAAATACTTTCAAATTGAGAAAAAATTAATTCACTTGAAAAATCGAAATTTTTTAGTGAAATTTAGGAAAAGAGGTGAGTATTGAGGTGAGTTTCTCTAATGTTTCAGGAGAGACGAGAAACAACTTTTATAAGAAAAGATAGGTCAGATATTATCCACTACTAAAAATTGGAAAAGATCAATTTCTATTTTTGAATAAATGTTCGTCTAGACTCTCATTGTATCTCTTTCATCCGAGTTGCGTGCGGACTTCAGTTGACGTACGATTTGGGCAATGGATAAGTAAACTCTTTGGGTAATTTTCGACGTTTTCTACGTTCATAGTCATTTATTACCAACAGGATGCTTATGCAATATTAAGTGGACCTGTGTGGGACTTACTCGCCGCGTAAATTACTATAATCATGTCAATATTAATCATTGTTTTTCTAAATTCTAGGCGTTACACTTAGACGATCCAACAGATATCTGTCAACACGGAATGACATTTCCTATTCATCGAACTGTAGCACAGTATTTATTACCAGGTTAAAGTTACGTCCTTTAGTTTTACAAACATGTCAAAGTTGATCAGATGACCGAAGGAAATGAAGCAGAACAGCTATATACACGAATTATTCTAAAGTCTGACTAAAATACACCCTCAAGATGAACCTTCTTTTTCTTAAACAATTCTGACAATAAATAATAATAAGTAAATTTCAAGTTTTTGAAAATTAAAAAGTATAAAAATCGATTTTAGTTAATAAAATAATGTATCATGTCATTTAATTCATTAGATGTTGTACAATTTTTCTGTTCCGTGATGTTGTTTGTCTGTTTATAATCTTCTCTTATCTGCTTTTATTTTCGTAGCAAGAAGAAGTTTAAAAGTAATCTCGTAATAAACATTTCATCCTTAAATGGAATATTTTATTTGTGTGACTTCACCCTATACTGTATTTTCGGTAATTTGGGTATTATACTATACTTATTTTATTTGATAATAATACGTTTCAATCTGTGATCCATTTTATAACTCTTTATTTTTGAATCTCGTATGTTACTTTTTATTTTATTTTCATAAATAACTTTTTTCTATGTTTATAAGATAAGATGTATTTTTTATCAGTCATTATTTTACATTCCAGAATGTATTAAAACATCAGTACAATCTTGCGTTTGCTGATCTATTAATCTCATACGTAATGCACAAATTTCATTTATTTTTCTTCTTCACCTTCCCATGTTGTCTATCAACTCATAGACTTTGATTATCTTTTGAATAAAGAAATTGCTGAATGTACATACATTAAACGCGTAGACATGCAGACTGATATGATTACGCGCATTCTGGAGGTGTGTAATGTTTTTTTTGTTAATAATAAACACACGTGTTTATCTAAGTAAATAAACAAACCGATAAATGGTTTGTATTTCGGATTATGTCTTTATCTATTTATATTATATAATCGTCAATGCTGAAGTAGAATAAAAATGCGTTGAAAGAACAAAAAGAAAAAAAAAAATCAACATATGTAATAAGAATATAGTTGTTTTTATTTTCAAAAGGTAAGTTAGATCATGAAAATCGTATGATCTACTAAAAATAAAATGACAATCTTTAAATTCTTGAATATATTCGATTAGCAAAAATCTTCATCGATTACCATAAATTTACCAAATATTATTTAGTAAGTTTATAATATTAACGATTTATTTTATTTTTTCAGGAATTAACTGAATTACTATGAAAAACATATTCATTGTTTTCGTATTTATTTTGATATTTTTACCAGTTAATAACTATGCTCGTTCTATTATAATTGATGATGACACTGTTGATCAAGAGTGGTATATGAATGAGTTAATCGATGAAGATGACGTACGCTTAAAATCAAAATTAGCTGAATATCGTCATCGTACAGAACATTCACATTATTTGAATCTAATTAAATTATCTTTAAAATCAAATACTTCTCGTGCATATTGTGAATTTTGTCAACTCATTGTACCCGTAGTATGTAAAAAATATTTGTATTTAGAATTATTGTTTGAGAAAATACTATTCTTCTAGGCGCGTGTATTGATCGAACGAAATCAAAGTCAACATATTGAAAATGGTAAGAATATCAACATATTTTAACTTAGAATCATATTTAAAGATAAAAATTATGATTTTTTAGTTGTTATTGGATTTTGTAAAGAATTCAAATTAATCGATGAGCCGGTATGCATTGGTGCAGTTCATGAATACAAGGTAAAAATTATCGACCAGTTGTAAACTCCTTGTGATAATACTTGACATGCTAGAAGTTCAGTTGCATAGAAAGATAAATCTTTAGTGTGTTTAGAGAAACTTTGAAACATCATACTGCAAGAAAGAATAGAATAAAATATAAATGAATCCATAGTTTTTGAGTAAGAAGTAAAGTTTTACTACTAGAAGAAAGAAGATATATGCCCCTGTGTAGGCACCTACTCATACCGTACTCGTCAAAAGTAGCGACCTCCCTTTAACTCAAGAACCATGATAGCTAGGGACTTCTAATTTTGTGTCGTCATATCTTTTGCCGAATGCTGATCACTCATCAAGTTTGGGCCTCTTTTACCAGATGGTTTGTGAGATATAAGCGGTCTTTTCCGTAAAATATCAATAGTTCGTGACCTAAGAGAGATGAAAACTTTTTCTTTTTACTAAAATGTAGCCGCGACTCTACTCTATCTACAATATAATATTTTATGAGTTGACTGTTAGTAGTCAGTGAAATACAGCTATTTTACAGGCGAGGTCTCTGAAAATGAGCTTCTGAGATATGAGGTCGTTTCCAAGAAAAAGCCATAATTCATTCTAGGAACGTCAATTCGACTTCAAACTCACAGCAAATACTTTTCAACAACTGTAGACTATTCAGTCAAAGTATGAAGGTTAACTATTGTGTGGTTCTGGAAATTCATTGAGGACGAACACTCACGATTGAAACATACGTAGAAGAGCGAGGGTGAGGAACTAAGTGTCGCTGTTCCTACTATAGAATGTGCATTCAATACGTGTCAGAATTATTAAAAAAATAATTATAGAAACCTATGGTTCCACAAAACGTACGTGAAAACTTTTGTCAGAAAGATTACACACTCTTCATTAACCTTGAGAGAAAATTTTCAATGAAATTTTTTTGTTCGTAAATCAAATGTTAAATATGCTATTCGACTCAGTTTTGTTTGCTGATCTGAAATATGTTATTAGTTTTGCTTGAAAATAGAAGGAAAGTGAAAAGGGCATAAAATAAGTGAAATGGCGAAAATCGGAGGTGAGTGTGTAATATTTCTTCTACAAAATAAACTATTTGGATTTACGACATCTTTAAATATGACACTAAGACTCCACTTTTAAAAAAGTGAAATTGGAATTCGTCAGTATTATTCTTGTTTTCACCGCATCAAATGAGAATAGAAGCCACGTTGCATCTCATTTTGTGAAGAAAAGTCTTGTAAATAATCCTATACATTCAACAAGCATTTAGAATAAGTAGATTTGTTTGGAGTTCGTCATTTTATTTTCAATAATTGTCAAAAAAGAATTGATCCATGCGCAGTAATACATAATAGTATCATTTTATCTTTCATTAAGCTACTTTTTAGTTCTGTTCAATATAACATGGTGTTTTAATATCAATTATTATTTATATTTAGGATGCTGTAATAGAGGTTGTTGGATCAAGTAAATTAACCAGCAAACAATTATGTGCATTGGCGTTTGACTGCGAGAAACAATCACAAGTACCGGTATTGAATTGGAATGTGACTTTTCCAGATGTACCAAAACCGCCTGCATCGCCACCACAGCCGCCACCGGTATGTAGTTATATAAATATTTTTAAGCCTCATATACCGTATCACTAAAGGATTCCAACAGATAACCTTTATCATAAATTTTACGCACCTCAGATCAATTTGTTATAAGACAACTGGTATTGTCGTATAACATTTTCAGTCTAATACTAGAGGTTATTCTCTGGTGTTTCATCACTCCATAGTACTTGTTATTCAGATTTATGCATTAGTGTTTTGTTTTTTGGATAAATTATTGGAAAAAAGACTATTGATAATTCACTTTCTTTCACCTGCTATATGTTCCAGCAATTGAATTTTGCTCACAAAGCTAAAAAAATGACTCAGTTTTTTTCTTCGTCTTTTCAGTGTCTTCAACATTTTCTTATACTTAGTCGGACAGGGAAAGTGTTCGCTTCACAGTGTGACGAAATATTCCAGCAGTTTTTCTTCGAGATATAAACATCGTTGCAAATGCTCGGAAAAAATTGATCGATTTAATGTTCCCTGTGGTGCTCAAAGCACTTATAGTTTCATTCGGTGTACAGGACGACTCCATCGAAACTTCATCCGATCGGGCAGAAAATTTCGGTAAATACTGAGGTGATGTCTCAGAATGCAAATTTTTCGTTTGCGTTTCTAATTTTTTTCTTTCCAGGTTAGAGAGCTGTTAAATATATAGGACTCTCACCTGTTCTCTATATCTCGAGGAGTAATTTTATCAGATTAAGCTTAAAAATACTTAAATCAAGAAGATCTTTAAACAAAAATATGTCGTTCGACACTCATTGTATAGGTTAAGAATTTAAAAATTTACGGTCGGCCAGGAAGAGGTGAAATAAGTTCGATGGCGTAAAATTCAAACTATGCAACTACATGCGCTTCGAAAACTTGTTAATAAATCCTTAAACCGTCTTTTGTCACCGAAACAATATGTATATATCTTGCTCAATAACATCATAATCAATCTGTTCGAATTTTTCTAACGATCCTTTCATCTCCTGTATTGGACAATTACTAAAATTTCAAATTGATGAAGTCTACTAATAAAAAAACTTCGCTTTTTGAAGAACTTTGAATTTATCGTTGATAATGATAGTTTTTTTCTATTCATTATTAACTACATAATAAGATAGATTACTCTTGTGTAATTATTGCAGTTTTAAATTTAAAATGCAATTTCTCCAGCAAAAAAAGATTCACGAACAATTTGGACATCTTTGGACATTTTTTATTCGTTTTTTAATAAGAGATTTCTTTTTTGGATAAATCAATGTTTAAACGATACAGTCACATTGTCCCTGACTAAAACATTCTGAAATTTTACACTCATGTAACACAAAATTTAAGTTCTTATTGATATTATTGCAGTCTGGTTCACCAAAGATAACCATTCTTCATTTATCAGATATCCATATTGATTTTTCTTATCAACCGGGAAGTATGGCTGATTGTCCTCAACCACTATGTTGCCGATATGGTACACCAGGTAATACAGTTTTGTATCTCTTAACTAGAAATTTTCATGTATTCTTCCTCTTTTTACTAGCTCCTGGTCATATTGGTGCTGGTTTTTGGTATGTCAGATATCTAATAATCGGTTGACTCTTCTATCCATATAATCTTTTTTTTTTCGTATATTCAGGGGAGATTTTAGAAATTGTGATTTACCCTTATGGACTGCTGAAAAAATATTGGAATATATTGTAGAAATCGAAGAGGTACAAAAAATTGTTTTGTCTTTTTGCAATACCAAAACACAAAATGAATTAATTATTAGACTTTTTTTTAGTTTGATATTATTTATTATACGGGAGATTTGCCACCTCATAACGTATGGAATCAATCTCGTGCAGATCAATTATATTCAATTGCTACTATAACGAGTTTACTAAAGAAATATTTTCCAAATAAAATGTTTTATCCAGCAATTGGAAATCATGAAGCAGCTCCATGTAATTTATTTCCAACACCATTGATAAAATCTGATAATATCTCATGGTTATACACATCATTGGCTGATCACTGGATTCAACTTGGATTATCAGAAGAGACAAGATCGAGTATATTATATGGAGCATTTTATACAACACTCGTTCGTAAACGTTTGAGATTAATATCATTAAATATGAATTATTGTTCATCAGAAAATTATTGGCTATTCATAAATTCTACCGATCCATTAGATCAATTACAATGGGTATAATTATTTTAACATAGTATTAAAAAATATTATCACTTGTGTGCTTATTTAAGTTCGTCAGTTGGCTACAATATGCGGAAGACCATAATGAAAAAGTAATAATATATATTTGTTTTTTCATCTGTACAAATTAATAAATATTACTTTCATTTAGGTTCATATAATAGCTCATCATCCACCAAGATCATGTTTAGCATCGTTTAGTTGGAATTTTTACAAAATCATCAATCGGTAAGTATATTCAATTACAATTTTAAAAGTTTTTTCATCTATGATAATTTACTTCAGATATGAAAATACCATATCCGGTCAGTTTTATGGTCATACACACAACGATGAAATTATCATGTTTTATGATGAAATCGATAAAATACGTCCAGTTTCAATGGTATAGTAATGACATCTTTTTTTTCTTTTTTTAATGACAACAATGCTATATTTTCTCATTTTACTGTTGATTAGGCTTATGTGACACCATCATTAACAACATTTTCGTTTTTAAATCCTGGTTATCGTATATATACAGCTGATGGTGACCATGTAAACAGTACCTTTTGGATATTAGATCATCGTACGGTTATAATGAATTTGACAGCAACAAATTTATTTAATAAAACAATGTTTATTGATGAGTATTCAGTTAAAAATGCCTATCAAATGGATTATCTATTTCCAAATGATTGGAATGATTTGATTAATCGTTTATTAACTAATATTGATGGTGATTTAATGGGTTTAGTATATCAGTACTATACAAAGTCATTTGCGAATGGTACAGCTTGCGATATAAATTGTCGTCGAGGACTATTATGTGATTTCCAAACGGCTCGATCTGATATACCATGTCCCAATTTATTCCATTTGTCTTAAAACATTCATCTACAAAATATTTAAGCATCCGTCCAATATTTATTTTTCTATTGATCATAGTCTTTCATACCGGTGTTTGGTGCTATTTTTGTACTTTTTTGTTGGTGCTATTGTGTATTTCATACTTGTTTAACATATATGGGTAAATTTTGCTTTGTTTTTTTCTTTCTTTCTCATGTCGCAGATAAAAGATATTTTTCTAGCGTTGAAATTGGTATAGATTGGAAAAGAAGTGTTTCGAAGATTAACTTCGAAGATTTGGATCATTACTCAACTATTAAAAAATAACGGATTTGAATTCAAATTCTTGATGGTAGTGTGTCTAATAACAAGTTTATATGCAATTGTCCTATATATCGTAAACTATCCAATACATAAGTAAACAAACGATAATTCAATTCAACTCTACTTTCCTTGTTTTGTTACAAGTCAAAAATTCTTAATTTTAGTTAACTTTTACGATTACACACAGAATCTTCTGTACCACACACCGGTTTTTTATTCGTTGATGCAACCATATTTTATCGTAATTATTTGGTAATATTATAATAGCTGCCGGCAATTCAGCCTTGATGAACGTAGGATTGAAAAGACATTTTTCTGTGGAGTATTGAATCTCGATTGTGATACAGTGCATGTGGATGCACAAAACATTTTGTTCATACTTAAGGGCACACTTCCCCCTTCTTCTCTTTTCTATTGACATATGTTTTTATTTTGAGCTGAACATAGCCTAATTTAGAGAGTCTGAGTTACAAAGTAAGACTATTTCCAGCGCTCCACGACCTTCCACGTAAAGTTATACGTCTTTCAAAAGAAGTTAAAAAGTTTAATTTTTTCTAGTTTTATTAATTTTTCGTTCGGTTTCAGTGTCTTCAACATTTTTTCTTATTCATAATCTGATAGAGTAGTGTTCTCTTCACATTAAGACGAAATTTTTCAACGTTTTTCTCGATAATATGAACAATATCTTTCGAAAAAGATTTAGAATCAGACACAGAGTTTGACGTATCTACATTTACTTTGATAAAATATTGATACGAAAACAATCTTTTGGTTTCGTTTATCGGTCATATGAATTTCACAAGTACGTAAACGAGAATAACGTGGATGGAAACTTCACATCGGCAGTTGTTTGAGATTGACGTTGGCTGCGTACCGTCATGTACATAACGTAACAACAGTGTACGCTTTTGTTTTATGCTGCGTGCAGACGTAAGAAATCAATCATTTACTTTCAATCAGGGGAATATATTGATTATTGTAAATAAAAAAATATATAAATTAAAAGGTCTTCTGCATATATAGAATACTATCCATATTACTTGTTATTCTCTGTAGTAAGTAAGTCAGAATAAACTATTCTGCCCGTCTAATAAAACGACATAAAAAAGGTTTTTTTAATTGATTTTCGGTTGATTCAAATAGACCGTGCATTTTCGTATATAAAAAGTTGGTTTTCATCGTTACGGACACACTTAACCCTTTACACCCCATAGCGGTTCCAGAAGAGCCACTGATAAAAACACCAAAGAAATAGAGTATTGGCCTCTACAATGAGAGCAACGAAATAAAATATTTTTTTCTACCAATCGATAGCTTATGGAGTTCCCTAGAAATATTGTCTTGGGAGTTTTTGAATCTCATGCTTTCTTTATTTTCTGCAAACTTTCTACGAACGGGCCAAAAATGACCCAAGGGGGTGTAAAGGGTTAAGGTTAAGATAATAGTCAAAATCTGAATGTCAGCTCATTTAAAACACATGAATAGTTGTCAAAGCGTTTTTGAGCAAAATAAATGCGATATTCGAAATTGGCATGGTCAATTACGTATGTTTAGACTGACCATACATAAAAATTCGAAGAATTTTCTGAAATCCTGGAAAGAGATATCTAAGATCAAAAAATCTTAAAAATTGTTTTCGAGTTTTCTGCAAATCTTGGTATACAGCTTTGTTCAGAATTTTTCACTGAATACGGCCATATGGTTCTTTTTACAAACCTTCATGGAATAAAAATGGTATTAACTCCACGACTTCTTTAACCGTTTATCATTTATTCACGGCATTTAACGATCTGTACAGTGCACATTTTTCGGAAAATCAACGTAAAAAAGATGTGTTTTTAGTTTTTGGATTATTCTCGTAGACCAACGGAAGAATTCTCATACATTTGTTGTAGCTGAGAACTTCCGATACTGGGAATGTGATATAGCTAGATGAACATCACCAGTTCAATGGCATTATGACATCTCTGTATATTTGCGTCTCGTGATAATATTTAAATCATATGGAACAAAATTATCGCTCATAGCTTCTTGGTCTAAAAACTGATTATGTTCATTTACTGTGATTTTCAATATCTTGTTGTAACCCAGGATTAGAGAGTGGATCGTTACCAGTTACCGTTACTGTAACGGTAACGACTCAAGCGTTACCGATACCGATAACGAGTAACGGCCGTTACTTGTAACGGTGACGGTTTGACTGTAAAAATTTTGACTTGGCACGTGGACATGTAACCCGTTACCATTACCGGAGTAACGAGAGTAACGGTAACGAGTAAGGGTCCACCCTCTACCCAGGATAAGAACAAAATGGTACATGTACAATAACTAATTTTATACTTGAACGTAATTTATTGAATAAAAATATAAATAATTTCGTATGTTCAATAGTTTGTAAAGGTAATTAAATGGAAAGATGTATATTCGTAATGAAAGTGGCTGTTGACGATGTAAAAAGCAGCTGATTAAAATCATCATTGTGTAATTGTTCATACAAGCGACTTATACTACTAACGGATCTGGTTTAATCGCTCATAAGCAAAGCGACCAATAATATCAAACATTTTAATGTATTCAAGTTCATTATCTGATAAGACTACTTCAATATCTAATAACAATGTAAAACGTTACATTTTATACATCACATTTGTTTTCATATTTTTTTATTTATTTTTATTTTTAAAAATTAAATAACACAAAATAAGCAACAATAACAGTAACAGCAAAATTCATTAATTCCGAAGTAATATAACAAGACTAATTGATTATATTTTCATTTAGATACTATTATATATTTACAAAAAAAAATTGGAAATGACATTAATTTAATTAAATAAATTACATTATTATGTAGTATATTAGTTAATATAAGGATTTACAAGTTAGTTTGTAATAAATAAAAAACAAAAAAGAGTCTAACGTCTCTTATGAAATACAGATGATTGTAAGCTAAAATCGTACATTAGAAGAAAAAGATTCTATTTTATAAATAATTATTATTAAAGTATTTGTTATCCATATTCGTAAAAAATAAAAAAAATTCACAGAATTTTTGAGAACAAATAAAACGGAAATGGAAAGTAATATATTAACGATGAATAGGAACACCACATGGCTTATGTATAGGTAATGCATCAATATTTGATCTGAAATCACCATTCATTCTTCTAACACTATTTATTTGACAATTGGATGGATAACAACAAACTGAACTTTTCATCACCGGTCTACCCACCGAATTGACTTGAAAACGTTCTCGTGGACCGAAGAAAGATGGAGAAAACATTTGTGGACGATGGCGGCGGTAAGTTGTACAGCTGCTTGAGCAATTTGAGCTGCCGCTGCTGATGCACATAGAGCGGCTTGTGATGTTACGTTGATTGATTGAGCAAATTGTGTTGAAAACATTTGATTCTGATCATTGTACATACTCCTGTAATTTAAGCGAGGACTATTGTTATCAAATGATAAACGGTTAATCTCTGGCAATGAGTACTGAACTGGTAATGATTGATAATTTGGATATGTACATACTGACTGCACTTGCTGCTGTTGCTGAGTTTTTTTCGATGACATGGGGCAGGATAGTGTTTTTGAATTATTACTTGTTGCTTGATCTATAACTACACGTCTTAATTGTTGTTCAATGGTACTATGAGCCGGCATCGTATTAATGTCCGATATTTGTTTCGATGGAGGAGTTCGACTAGTCGGAGAAATCAGAGAGCGATGCAACATGTTCGAAATACGTGGATATGTCGAATTCAATTGTAAATCGGAATTATCATATACAACAGGTGGATTTACCTAAAATAGAAAAAAGCTTATTAAATAGCAGCTAGTTAAAGATGAATTGTTTTCTAGTATTATTAACATGCTGCATATACTACACGCCCGTAAACTCAAATCCTATTTTGTTCTATCAAAAAAATATTTTTAAACGAAACACAATAAACATGAGCAAAAAGTTTTACTATAGTTTTCTCCGATAAATTTGCCGAGGATGAACTACCGATTAGTCTTGTTTTTCTTAAGAAATTCCAGCTCTAAAGATTAAATAGAAAAATCAGTAGATTATTTCTTTTTTTCCACAAAATGGTGCTTTCATTCGAACATTCAACTGTACGGATGGATGTTCGGCGATAGAAAAAAAACTTGAAAATCGACCGCGACAGAAAGAGAATTTTCTAGTGTTAAGTCAAGCTTTTCTCTCCCGTGCCCTCCATTTGAGTAATCTTTGGCTCGATTACTTCTCAAACTAGGATTATCGCTCATCTGTAATTTTAATATAGTATCAGACTTTTTCTTAAAAACTGTTTCCTTCTTAAAAAACTTCCGTTATGCGTTACTGTTATCGTTACGATCTTATTGGTAACTGTTAATAAAATAGATCATCTACTAATCAATTCCCAGAGAGATTAGTTGACACTTTGTTCCTTTGTTGCAGTTCAAATCAGTGATATCTATCTACAAGTCGAAATTAAACTTACCTCTACATATGTATCTTGACTATTGTCATAATTTTGATCTTTTGGCATGAACATTGTTGCATTGCTGCTATTATGAAATAGTGTTGACTTTGCTGATGGTGATTGTTGGTTTGATGTCGTTGTCGCATTTGTTATTGTGACTGTTGTTGGCAGAATAAGTGATGACTGTGTATGTGAAATACAATTACTATTTATCGATGATGTTGACAAACTTGACGATGTTGATACTGAATAATTATCACGAACATTTGACGCAATTTTCCTTTCAGCTCCAATGGGTAATGGTTTAATGACCTTCTGTGGAAAAAATATTTCATTAATTGGTTCTCGTAATGAGTCATATACGGCCACCATTGGCTTTGTTTTGATTGTTGTTTGCTCATTAACAAGTGTATCATATAATGTATCTGCAGTCGCACTGTTACCAAAGTTAAACATATGTTGATTGGTAGAAGTCTGGTTGTTATTGTTCACATCACAATATTGTTGTTCAAAATAATTTTGATCATAAATCAAATTTGAATCCATTGACGATGATGATGATGGTGATGATGAATTAAGCCAATATAACGATGGATTTGCAACAATCGATTGTTCAAATAATGATGGCCAAACATATTCTATTTGCATTATTTATTATTTGATATTATTATGCAGACTAAGAGTTTTATCTACTTGGATTTTTGTTTTTTATAATTGAATTCAAAACGAGAACTAATCAAGAACTACTAATGCAATAAACGATGAATATATATCTATACAATATTAGTGTGAAGTTAAAAAGAAACCACAGAAACAATGTGATGTGGATGGTGATCTTCGTATAACCAAACAAAAAACAACTTTAACATCGATAAAACTATTTATTTTCTATTTCTATTCTTCTTTTTGTACAACAAATTTTGTCTAAGACCATTCAAACAGGAACATGCACACATAGTGTTCAGAAATATATTGTCGCGCATCTTAATGTGATTATCACTATATGTGATCACGTTTGATAAAAAAAAGCATATAATCAACTGTTGAGTGTGATGTATGTAGTTTTCCACTATGGCATGCTCGTACATATATCTTCTTTAAATTAATAGCAATTGAGAAACTCATTTAATGAAAAATACAAGATGCAAGACATTTGGCTCTATTTCTTTCCTTATTCCGAAGCGCGCCATCATAAAAGAGAGATAGAAAGAAACAAAGAAAGGAAGAAAAAGATTTTCCTTCGTGAATCATAAGCGACGACATGTATCCTGTGGAACGTCTGAGTCATGTTGCATCAATAGAAAAAATGGGCGCTACGTTTTCAAACATTATTTGTCGGTATCATCCGTGAGTTGGAAAAAGTTACGGTTTTGCAAGTGAGAGAACATTTAGTTAGAGCAGATAGTGGATGAACGTAGTATGAGTGGTGCAAAACTGTAGTTGAAACTAAATGTATGCGTCAAATGCTTAGACATGGATGGATGGGGCTGATCATATATTATCAATAGTCCAAATGCTACTCCCTACCAAGAAGCTGCATTTGACCCTTTTTTTTGCAGGAAGTGTTGTAGAAAAATTCGACGAATGTTTGTTATTCTTCATGAACAGAAAACATGACAAAGATCAATTTATGATTGTCTTTTGCTTTATATTGGGTCAATTGACAATTATATATTGAAACACCTGTATGCTTTAATAGGAAATCTACTTCGTAGAATTAGCAACTATACCCGGGGTGGGGTAGTGAGTTTATATACATTCTTCTGAAGAGTCTTCTGACAGTGTTAGATCAAAGCCTTCTTTGGTAGTAGAATGATTCATCCCAGGTCTTTTATATTTGTCCATTAACGGTCATTCAAAAAATGGCGTATTAGTAGTGTAAACAAAACGGCGTAAGAACGATCCGTTAATGTTACCATAAATTGACAGTTTCAAGAACGTCGATTAATGGTCTAAAAATGGCCCGTTCACTGGGATGATCGAATAAAGTCCGTATGGTATATCATAAACGGGCTGTTTTTAGAGCGTTTTCTGCCAGTGGAAAAACGCCAGTTCACGGTCTCCGTTTTTTGGCGATAGTCATTCATCTCTTTTATTTTGTTATCATTAGTAGTATATACAACACTAATTCTTCAAATAATGTCGAATTTTTTCCTGTCATCATTTACAAGTCTACAAAACTTGAAGAAGTGGTGGCCTCTTCCTGAGGTTGGTACTAGAGATAATACTTTGGTCTTAGAACTGAAATGATAACAGAGACGAACAACCAAAATAATTAAAAAGTAGTAAAAACAATATTTTTGAGGAAGGAAGTCAGAAATATAACTTCCTTATGAAATGCTCATAAAACGGTCCGTTAACGGTGGAAAAACAGTCTGAAAAAAAGAGTGTAAACGGACTTTTTATTACGGTTAGAAAATCCTAGTTAATCGACGTTGAAACGGTCTTGGTAGCTTGAAGATGGATCGTTAAATAGACATTTATGATCCGTTAATTCACAGTTAATAGCCCATTAATGAATGAATGAAATAGATCCCCATACCTTTCGGTAATAGGGTGAAAACCAAAAACGTACAGTTAACGCAGAAAAGAAAGATAAAAATAAAAATAAAAAGTATTCTTTCATGTTTGTTTGTCGTTACGCACTGACTTGAAGCATATCATCAGAATGTAATCTCCATGACACAAAATACCTGGTTTCAACTACATCCATCAATTCGTCAAAAAAAATCGTGAAACAGAAAAGATATTTTAGGCTCGTTAATGACACCGTTTTTATAAATCGGAGAATCGTCTTTTCCTTTTATTTTTTATAATTGACGTCAAATATAACTGTAGTGAGGAGAACTAAGCAAATTTCAAAAAATATATATAGAAAGAAAAAGAGTTATTAGATAAAGAAACGTGCATATTATTTTCCAATAATAGGCACGCATAATTAAGTGAAAATATAAAAAGTAAACAACATATCATTCACGCTAATACAATTTTTTATGCCACATCATCTATTTATCTTTTACGTATAGAATTTGGTACATCGAACGAATATTTCGGTTCCTCCTTTTGTAATTGTAAAACTTCTTTTGGTGATGCTTCATGACGTATCCAATGCCAAACAATTTCTTGGTCGGATGGACAAGATTTTACAAATGAATCATTTTCATAGGCTAATGCTAAATAACGCCATAACGAGCCAAATTTAACGGGTATTGACATGTTTCTTATGTAATTTAATGCCACTCGAATATGTTGTAATTTAGGTAATAATGAACAATCAAGTCCTAAAAGAATATAAAACAGAAAAGATATTTTCTTCTATCAACGAATAGATACAGTAGTCGAGTTCAGAAACTAAATGCTTACCACTAATATTATTTCCACACATGTATTTTGTACCTCGTTTTGCTAAAAATTGATCAATTTTTTCTAATTCAATTAATAACTGTTGTGGATTACTGCTGACATCCTTGATAAGATAGGAAAATTTTGTAAAAACATCCATTTGAGCTTGAAATGCTTCTTGATCTTCTACATTTAATTTATAATTTTCATACATTGTATCTAAATAATCTTCGATTTCATCAATATCATTCAATATAACCTCGCCTGAAATAACGGAACATTTGAAAAAGACATAGAAACGATATCGACAAATAAAACTACTTACCATGTACAAGCGTTGGTAATTTCTTAGATATTTCTTGAAATTCTTTTGGTGGATTTTTACAATTAATTGTTATTACATCGAAACTAAATTCATTTTGATTTTCACGCTTAACCAATAATTTCATGAAAACATCCTAAACAAATTGCATATTCAAGAAGATGATCTCAGCAACCTGTTTTCAGTGATTGCTTCCGCTTACCTGACAGAAACAGGATGCTCCTTTCGATCTTCCATCCTTTCCAGCCTGGATGAATAAATGAAGTTTTTCATCGTTTTCACCATTCATTAATGTGCGCTGGAAACAAACGAAAACAAGATGTTATTGTCTTGTAATAATGAGGAGCAGACTGCTAGTTTTGAACTTTGGAGGGAGGTAGACAGAGAAAAGTGAAGAGAATATAACCCCTATGGATAAATAAGCCGCGGACTTCTCGTTTAACCATCTCATTTCTACTACAATGGAAACAAATTAGAAGTTTCTACTGATAAACCGAAATATTCTTCTTCCATCAGGAATAATTTTTTTATATGAAGATGTTCTTGATTTTCAAACATGCACTTTAAAATAAACCCATCGTAAGATAAGACGGATCGAAAAGTATAAGATTGTAAGACGAATCAATCCGACTATTTCACAACCGATTTACGCCGTCTTCTCTTGAGACAGCCACTCTTATCGATCGTACCTCAACGTGAGCTAACTATTTTTATATCTTATTTTCATTATTAGCAGTTGAAGGATAGTTCGTGAGGAGGATCGTGAGCGCATCTCAAATACTGATCTTATGCAAGATGTAAGTAAGAAATCAAAATAAGTCACAACTTTTTTCGAAAAAATCATTGTTTTTTATCTGCGAGTGGCAAACATAAAATAATGGAGATGAATGACTTTTCCGTCATTATAAAACTAAGACGGAAGAATGGCTTTGCAAAAAGATGAATGAAAAGAATAAGACAGACGAATCAGAAAGACCGATAACATAAGTCGGATTGCTTTTTAAAGTGTATGCCAAATCCTTGCCATTGGAATTTCTGAGTATTATGAAACGAAGATGGTAATCGGTGAAAAATTGGAAAAAAGAAAACTTTTATTTTCCGATAACTGTTTTTTAGATCTAGCAGATTTTTTTGGCAAGGATCATTATTCTCAAGGTATAAAATTTCAAATTTTCAACTATATAATAAGTTATTATATAGTTAGTTACTAGTAGGTTGTGTATAGGCATACATTCAGATCTTTGAATTAGTATCTATACAGTTGGAGCCCTTTTGTCACTATTCCGGATCGTTGACACGGTTCTGAAAACGGAATTCAGATCGGACATATCATTACCGAAATGGATTCTAACAGAAGGCATCAATAAAGTGTTATCGAGTTCACTGACGTTTATTTCAACGAAAGTATAGATAAGTGATAATTTTCAACTGAACATCTACCTTTGAGACTTACTAAAACTCAACAACAGAAATCTAAACTATCGTGTATTGGAAAATCATCTGTTACATGAGAAAGTACAAATGATATATTTATCTAAACAATGAATTCGACAGAAAAACACCTAATAGAATCATACAAATTCCCTCGATTAAAAAAACTGCGTTACTAGATCATAAAATAATCTCGATAAGTCTTAGATGAATAAAATAATTATATAGTTCTCACCAAATCAAAATACTCGGGTTCCTCCTCCTTATTGCTGCCTTGATGAGTACTTGTGTTCGTCATTCTCGATTATTTTTTTAAGTCAGATTTTACCACAATATAGGGAAAATGATGATTACACGCGTTTTAGATTTCGAGGAGAAAAAGAACTGTTGGAATTGTCTTATTTTTTCCTGTTGCATAAATACAAGAGAACGTTTTTTTCAATAGGCAGACTAATGGGTGTAAAAAAAACTCAAACGATGTTATCCTGGAAAAATTGATTAAATTATAAACGCGATAGTATAGTAAGTCGTTGGCTAGTTCTAGGTTGTACGTGGTAATTTCTTTTTCTCTCTTTCTCACATTTGTTTTTATCATCGTAGGTTACACATCTATTAAAGAACTGACGTATGTTTCTTTTGTCCTAGCGTATATATTCGTTGAAAGAATACTATGACGCGCTGAGTATATGGCTTTTTTCTAGTCGAAAAGAAATAATACACGCTTATACCCTGTTTGATGCTAAATCTTATCAAAACATGAAATTAAAAATTTTAAAACTATTTTCAAAACGAAAAATATTGACATTGGAATTTTTGTGTTCTCCTTAATAATGTTCGTACAACTTCTTTTCGAGCGTTTTAGCCGGATATCATTGAGTTAATAAACGTCTTTCTTCGTCCTTTTTCTCTTCGTTCTCTTCCGTATTCTATTCTTTCAAAAAAGTGAATTTCTTCACTCAAAGAATAAAATTCAAAGACATTTCACTTAGAACCCCTCGTACTGATCTCAACATACGTTATAGGTGTAACTAGAACTCACGAAGATTTACGTTAGGCTGTGCATATAACTCAAACTTGACTAACACGTAGACGAATTTAAAATCCGACTGAATTTTAGTTATGCCTACGATAAAACCTCTTTTTGAATAAGGAGCTTTATATACCTGACTTGTCAGTTGATATAGGTTATATCTACCTTTTTCGTATAGTACAGCTGATTACTCATTTTCTGTTATTTCACAAAGTTTCAAATGCGAACGAAAGGAAGAGCATTTACATTGATATACGAAGAAAATGTAATTCCAAACAAGGACAAAAGGATCGACTACAGTGACGTGCTAAGTTAGTTGTTGCATATTAATGCCTTAGTAAATTGATAAATAATGATACTATGATTAATCAGTTAAGCGTTGTCCAGTTCAATTAGACGTTTTGTAAAGGCTTCGATGAGAACGGAAATGTGTAATTCTGTTAAAAAGTCAATATAGAGATAATTGTGCGATCAGATAGCACATAATGTTCACTATTAGAATCCGCATTGCTTTTGATAACATCGGAAATTTCATAGAGGTTTTGAGAAAATTTTGAGAAAGTTTTAAAGAAAATAGTTGGTTAAGAGTTCTCTGTCTCAGGTTAATCTTAATGAATAATTTAATTTACATAATGCCAGTTTATAGCGAGCTTTCAGATCGTAAAGAAACATTAAGCGACTCTGAGTGATGTTTGAATTAAATAATACACGGATACCGTCAAACGATGTTTTTGAAACCTCTTGTAGCAACTTCTAGGATCTCAAGCTTATGACGACGACAGAGGAAAAAATTGGGCTCTTCCAACTTCTGGTTAATATAGCTGGTATCGTTTTCTGGCCATAATATAGGAATATCGTTCCGATTCGTCGATTCATTAATTTTTTCCCTGACTCATCGACAAGATTGCGGGGGGAAGATGAAAGATGTTAATGGGGTACCGACACTATAAAATATCGACGAAAGAGGAAAACCAATTAACGTGTTGACGCATCGGGACTGAATCTAATATAGGTGCTTAGTGAAAAACAAAACTAACTCTAGCTCTCTATTATTTGTTTGGAATGAAAATTTTTACATGTAGGAAGTCCACATTTTGAACCTTAACCGCATCAGGCTGACACCATAAACTTGCGATTACTAATCAGAAGTTTTTGTGAAAACTTTTAGAACTTTTCTTCGTTAGAAAGATAAACGAAATTTCAAGTTTAAAGGTTTTTTTCGGCCAAATGGTTGCTTTTGCACTTTCTGTTTCTGGCAATGCTTTTTTTGTCGAGAGTAAACGAATGAAAATCTGATCGACCAGCCGATGCACTGGACTGACACATTAAATCTCATCAAATCAAGGCGATGTATTAAAGCGTTTTGCCTATGCATTTCGCAATAAAATAGTATGCTTGACACTTTTGTGAACGTGTTTTTACTATGTTTTTGCAATGTATAGTAAGTTTTTTACATGCTTTTTAGAACATAAAATGTTGCCTTACGATTGAGGCATGAGATCTACTCTGTACTTCATGATTTTTTATTGAATTATATCTCAAAGGGAGACTGTCTTCTAGTTTTACAGTTAGTTAAACTTTAACAAAGCTCACTGTTTAAAGATTGCTATAACAACAGCTCAAAGTCCTGCAATGGTAACTTACTTGTCCGTGCATCTTCTATTTTTGAAAAACAGTATAAGTGAAGGTGGAAAAGAGACAGCAGTCAGCTTAAATGTGCTTTTCGCTTTTCTTTTTAGTTATATAATGACACCATTCATAGTGTCTAGATTTATTAGTTAGTCAAGCGAAGAAATACAGGGAAGAAGGCAAGTTTTTACCACGCAAGAACACGAAAAAAATTGAGCACAGAGAGAATTGACGTTATTATATGACGATTAGTTTTATGAATAATACGACCTTCCTTCCCAAAACGAACAAAAAAAATGACTATGAGTTTCTGGTTTATAAGAATGTTTGTTTCTTCTCGTAAAAGACAATGAAATAAGTGTCCATTGACCATTAGGAACTGTGTTACATACTTTTAATTTTGTTAAGGAAAAACTTCCCTTAGAAAAAATTTTCTACACGTGCAACAGATTTGCACGAAATTTTGACGGGTAAGACAATTAAATATGGTATGGAAAGATTATGAAAAAAATTTGGCCCCAAATATTGTGGTATTCACGATCATGGTAACGCTGCGTGGGCCCAAGTACTTTGCTTGTGTAATGAAGCCAATACCTTTTTCCAGAAATAAATTTACTTGTGAATGCTTGCTTCATTTGATAAGCACTTGTTCAAGTACTTGTCAAATAAAACTACAAGTGCTTTCACAAAGTAGTCGTAGTAAAAGAGCGAAGTATTACAATCTTGAAGAAGTACCTATGAAAGTTTATGGCAAGTAATTCATTTTGAAAGCACTTATCAATTTTTCTAAGTACTTACTAAGCGCTTACCAGGCAATCAAGTTCTTGGATCAAGTACCTTCATTATGGGTATTATCGGTGTCGTAAGGTGGAAAATGGATCTGTTTGTGAGGTACATTTTTCTCAGAATAACCAGTAGCTATGAAGCTCGGATTTGTTTTAAATAAAACTAGGCGCCTAAATGTAAAAGATGACAGATGCTGTTGTTGAATTTCATCTTCGACAATTTTCGGCATATATTTTAAATTGAAAGTTCAG